AATTTTTTTTTTTTTAAGTTGATTTTAGCAAGCTGGGAAGCTCGCAGACAAAAGAGGGTTAGCGCTGGAGGAAAAGGAGGGAAGGGGATGTTTTTGCAGGATGAAGAAAGGGAGAAACGGCTGCAAGTGTCTTTTTTTTTTTTTTTAAATTTTTGTTGTGGAGGGGGTGAGAGGAGAGGGGTTTTAGTGCAAAGGCTCTGGAAAAACGGTTGCTGCTTGTGGTTAGGGCGCGGATGCCTCTTGCTCGAAGGCTGGGGCAGCAGGGAGCTGGCTCTGTGCTGAGTTAGCTCTGCTCTGGCCGGCTGAGGTCTTCTGCTGCTCTCAGATGGGCTGGGAGTGTCATTAGGTGCAAGAAAAAAAAACACCAACAAACCAAACATCCAACAACAACAAAAAAAAATCAAAACACTCAACCCTCTGAAAGTAGCTAGGAGGCATGCCCGCATCCTCCCCAACTCCATCTTCTAAACTGGGAGCTGGTGGGCTGGGGGATACCCTCCCCAATAGTCAGGGAGAGGGTAGAGAGGTGACAAAAAGGAGGAGAAGAAGGAGAGAAAGAGTTTAATCAGGGCTCAGGCAGGCTCAGGATCCCAAATATCAGGGATGGACCATGATGCTGCAGATGCAGTGGGGAATCCAGAGAGGTTTCCAAAGGCTGAGGGGGTGTAATTTTCACTGCCAATTAACCAATAGCAGATATTGGCAGAGTGGTTGTGTATTGGCTGGTGTTTTGATTGTTGAGCTGTGATTACTTTGGGAGTCCTTGATGTGGTTTGACCTGAGGCCAAAGGAAGAGCCCCTCCAGGCTCATGCACCCCCCTCGGAGCTGGGGCGGTGCTCAAGGAGTGACCCTGGGGTCCCCATACACATTGGAAACGGGGGCATGGACTTAGATTTAGTATCCAGCCATTTCGGGGAGGAGAGGAGGGTTGGAGGCTCCTGCAAAGTCTGCCAGGGTTTGTCTGGTCCATATAGCACCATTGCATCTGGAGGGATGTAGGGCCCCTTAATCCAGAGGTGAGGGGGAATTGCCAACCCCTCACCATGGGAGGGACCCTCAGGAGGGGTGAGAGCTTCTCCAGGGAGCCCCTTGAGCTGCTGGGGGTTTCTGGTTGTCATTGTCACTGTCCCTGCTCCCCACTGCTGCTGAGGCCTGATGCTGCCTGCGGGGTGGTGCTGGGGAGGGGGCCAGGATTCGGCCCCCACCAGACTCTCCCCAGCCTGTGCCAGGAATGTCACCCAGCCATGACCTTGTGTCTTTGCTTGGACATCCTGAGCTTGGGGAGGACAGGCAGGGGCTGGCAGGGCTGGGGCTATTGGGAAGTTTTGTTTTTTTTTTTTTTTTTTTTTTTTTAGAGGGGGGCTTTCTTCAGCCTCTTTTAGCTTCGATTTCCCTAAATGAACTATGTGCTCTCTTGTTTCCAGAAGGCAGGGAGTGTGTAAATTGTGGGGCTACCTCAACCCCTCTGTGGAGAAGAGATGGCACCGGGCACTATTTGTGTAACGCCTGTGGACTCTATCACAAAATGAACGGGCAGAACCGGCCCCTGATCAAACCCAAGAGAAGGCTGGTGAGTCTCCTTTTTAATTCTTTTTTTCCCTTCTTCTGCAACTTTTGCTCCTTGTCCACAGCATGGGATGGAGAGGCTGAGCCAGCTCCAAAATCTGGTCCCATTGTATCCGAGGGCTGGGAGCAGGGGGTGATGCTTGGAGAGATGCTCTCAGCCATTATGGGCCTCAGTGGTCTGGTCCTCTTGCAAACTGCAAAACAGGTTGAAAAAAAAAAAAAAAATCAAGATCCAGGGCTTCTTGCAAACCAGACCTGAGTTTTGTCCGAGGTCGCAATGGTGCAGATGCTTCTGCCCAGCGCTCCTGGATGGTGACCCAAGGATGATGGCTCTTTCCAGGGGACAAGGGCAGAGTGATCATTTCCTAGTGACCAAAGAGATTATCAGGAGAACAAGATTTCTCCTGGGCTTTCCACACTGCTGTCCTCCCCTTTCCCAGTGTGTCTCCGTCCCCCTTGTCTGGTGGTGTCATGGACGGAGACCCAGGCTGGGTACTGGGTGTCACTGGGGCACTGGGGACCTCGGTACTGGGCTGATGGTCCTGGTGTCACATGAACCTGGTG